AAAAGTATCTATTTAGGTCCATTGCCCATTTTTTGATTGGGTTGTTTATCTTCCTTTTGTTAAGTTGTAGAAGTAGTTATTATTTTTTAAAGTTACTATTCTTACCTTGTAATTAATAGATATCATTTGGGTAGATATTTTGACACTATACAAACATAACATTTCCTTTACTAAAATTTCAACTCACTATATTTGACATCCATTGGTGATTCTTAATGTAGAAAATTATTGCAAATGTTGTTGCCAAATTGTGATATTACAATTTCACTAGAGGCCCAGTGAATGAAATGTGTGCACTGGTAGGGTCCCTAGCATCTGCCAGCTGCTGGCCTGGTACTCCCTCCTTTTCCCCAGATGCTTGCTACCACTGCCACTGCCATCGGCCGGGGCCTCCCTCCCTTCCCCTGGTGGCCTGCTGCTGCTGGGGCCTCCCTCCCTTCCACATTGCTTGCTGCTGCCACCGCTGGCCAGGGCTTCCCTCCCTTCCCCTGGCTGGCCCTGCCCCCTGGTCGAACTCCTGGACAAACACTCGGTCGAGGGGACAATTTGCATACTGCGTTGTTATTATATAGGATCATTTCTTCTATATTTATTATTTGTACTCTCTTATAAGAAGAAAATTACTCTTTTTCCACACTCATTAGTTTTTTATTTATTCATTTATTAGAGGCCCGGTGCACAAAAATTTGTGCACTGGGGGGGCGGGTCCCTTAGCCCAGCCTGCACCCTCTGGCAGCCTGGGAGCCCTCGGGTGATGTCCACCTGCCAACTTAGGCCCGCTCCCCCTGCAGAGCGGGCCTAAGCCGCAGTTGGACATTCTTAGCGCTGCCGAGGAGGCAGGAGAGGCTCCTGCCACCACCACTACTCTCACAGCCATCAGCCCAGCTTGTGGCTAAGTGGAACTCCCCCTGTGGAAGTGCACTGACCACCAGGGGGCAGCTCCTGGATTGAGCGTCTAACCCCTGGTGGTCATTGTGCATCATAGTGACCAGTTGTTCTGCTGTTAGGGTTAATTTGCATATTACCCTTTTATTATATAGGATGTTATGGACTCACAGAATCTTATTCTCTGAGTTATAATCATTTATCATTTATTATTCATTTTGAAACTTTATTTGTGCTTATTGCCTATGAGAATTCAAAATGATCTCAGAGAAGCCAACTGGGAAATATATATAAAAGAAACACAAGAAGCAGAAACTAGAAACTGAGAAGCTAAAGGAATGTTTAACCACAAAGGGATGGGTCAGGAGTGGTACAGGAAGAATGGGAGAAGGAAACAGCATAGATGTTGATATATGACCTATAACTTGCAATCTATTTATACATTTTAAAGCCCATGATTCCTAATTGATATCTCCAATTCTAGTTTGACACCATAGAGTTCTTTCCAGCCTCTCCTTTTTCATGTACATAGATCCCTAGACAGAGAGAGAGAGAGAGAGAGAGAGAGAGAGAGAGAGAGAGACTACCTTTCCCTCAATGTTTACTTATTTGCTGAATCTTTGGATACATGGTGAGTTGTTTCAGAATCTGGACTCACACCACTGTCAGTGACACACTAAGTACAGCTTAAAACTTTGTTGTAAGGTTTGTTTCTTTATTGTGAGAGTATATAGTAAAAATTATGGGTTCAAGAATTACTTAGGGTACTTATTTTATTTTCCTCTTTGGTGTAATTACAGTGTATAATAGGATTACAATTAGGTTCAATTATATTGTTTTATTCTATTTTGCTTTATTCACCACCTCTTCTATTTATTTTTAGTGGCAAAAGACAACATAGTCAAAAGGACATAAATAATTCTAACCCCTCCCCTCTGACAGCTGTCGGTCTCCTCTAGATTACAATGTCATTTATTGACATTGTTTAATAAAACCATACACATGTCAAGTATACAGCCAAATAAAACAACACCTGAATACTGCATGGTGCACTCACCACCCAAAATTATCTCTTTCCCTCTCCGTTGATCCTCTCTTTGTTCACTTCCACCTCCTGCCCAAAACCCCTTTTCCTCTGGCACTCACCCTACTGTTTTCCATGTCTTTATGTGACATATATTTTTTCTTGCTTTATTCCTTCACCATTTTTTTGCCCAGCCCTCATTAACACCTACCCTCTGACAGCTGTCAGTCTACTCTATGTATCTATGCTTCTGTTTCTATTGGGTTTTTTCATTATTTTGACCATTAGATTACACATATAAATGAGATTCTATGGTATTTGTCTTTCTCTGACTACCATTTTTCACTTAGCGTAATAAATTCAAGGTCCATCCATGCTGTCTGAAAAGGACATTTTCCTTTTTTTTCAGCCAAGTAGTATTCCATTGTGTAAATGTATCATGGGTTTTTTTATTCCTCATCTACTGATGGGCACTTGGGCTGTTTCCAGATCTTAACTACTTCCTGTGTTTCTTTATGTTTAAATGGGCATATATATGAATATTTTACTTCCCCTTCATTTTCACATGTCATATAGCATGCTATAAATGCTCTTTTACACATTGCTTTAAAAAATTTAACAATATATCCTATTTATCCAATTGGATTCATAAATATCTCTGTTCTGATATTTTTCCCAGTTTCAAAATACTAAACTTCATTGATGTTCTATAGAGTTTTCTTTACTGGTCCTAGTATGAGATATTGGTGTTGAGTGTCCTAAATGCCACCCAACTGTGTACCTCCAATGGCTAACCTGATAAATTTTATGTTTTGTATATTAAACTATAATGAAAAATTAAAGAGTAGGTAAGAGGTAATCTCTATATACTGGTATAGCACATAAAAGAATTACAACAACAACAAAAACAACAACAACAACAACAACATAATAATAATATTAATAAATGATCAATATGTAAATAAGGGGAAATGGAATAAAAATATATATTTGATTAATCAAAAGGGAGTAAGATAAGAGACAATAAATGTGAAGCAGGTGTATAACATAAAAATCAGTAATATATAAAATATAAATTTAAATATATTATGATTACATTAGACTAGAAGGCCTGGTGCATGAAATTCATGCACTGAGGTGGGGGAATCCCTCAGCCCTGCCTGCACCCTTTCACATTCCGGGACCCCTTGGGGGATGTCCGCCTACTGGCTTAGGCCCAATCCCCCCAGTTTGTCAGAAGTCAGACATCCCTCTCGAAGTCTGGGCTCTCACTGTCTGGGACCACTCACTCCTTACTGCCTGCCTGCAGCGGAGGCGGGAGAGGCTCCTGCCACTGCCACTGCACTTGCCACCCATACTCGCCCTGTGGGAGCACACTGACCACCAGGGGGCAGCTCTTGTGTTGAGCATCAGGCCCCTGGTAGTCAGTGCGCGTCATAGTGACTGTTCGTTCTGCCAGTTGTTCCACCGTTCAATCGATTTGCATATTAGGGTTTTATTATATAGGATATCAATACATAAAATTCTCCACAAATATAATAATTGTTGCTTTACATAAAAAGAGCAAATCCAACTTTACACTGTTAGTGACGGACACCTCACAGATACAAAGACATAGCTAACCTTAAAGTGATGGGAATAATACCATGTAAACACTAACAACGAGTAAGGGTCATCTTTACTTCCACTGCTATACTAGTATCTATATCTCTATCTGTATCTTTATCTGTACCTGTATATGTATCTATATCTATAGGTTTAGTTGAAATATATGTGTACTAATATCAGAAGTAGACAAGGTGTTAAGGTAGGACCCATTGGTAGATGTGTGCTGTTAAATTCATTTAAAAAATGCATTCATAAAGTCTTGCTTTGTAGCACATGCTAATTTTCATGGTGTAATTATTCTTCTCATGG